CCCTCTCTGGTAAAATTAAAATCAGTAAATAAATAGAGCTAAATAACTCTTGAAAAAAAAAATTCTCTAATGCCCGCCAAGAAACATACACTGTTTAAATTGTAATTTTACGCACCCCAACAGCCAGCCAGAAAAGTGAAGTGCCAACAATTAATTCTATCCAATTCTTTTAGTTTTCGATCTGAGTTCTCAGCACAATGTTTTATATACAATGTACCCAATCCCTAAGTGTTCTCCTACTACCACAGAAAACTAGCTATTGATTTTTGCCTTCCTTCTTGCACTCCATCGATAAGTCTACTATTAAGTGACCTGGTTGCTATTCTGGTTTTAGAAATACAGTTTCATGTTGGACGATACTAATACTTTCATGGTTACCCATTTCACGAGCAGGCTAGACATTACTATTTTTAGTGATAACATCATTAACAATTTCAAACATGACAATAAATCAATCCATTTCCACATGAACAAAGAGATCTCATTACTAATCATTACATATCTTCTAATATTTAAAACAAAATTTCAAACTTATGGAGTTTTAAAGATCAGAAGTCCAAAGGAAAACGAACAAAACCAAGACTCTTAGAATAATGTATACTTGACATATGTCTAACATCATAGGGAAATGTTTTTCAAAATACAGCCTTCTTGGTGCCAAATGAAACATTTGTTTTTGGCAAACCTTACAATTTTATACAGCTTTTGTCATTACTACCAATTTATAGTAAGGTGTCATAAATGTAAAACAAACACTGCCCAATGAAAACTGATTAACTGAGAAAAAGAAATACTAGGTAATAGAGTAACAACACACTGAAGTTCTTCCTAGCCACCCAGATAACATGGTAAGCACTAGCCCATTTATCAACTTTCAGCTCTTTACGAGTGAACACCATCAAGAAAATCATACTGGACCTTGCACAGGGGCTTGCTCCTTCCTAGGATAAGGCTTTAGATCCTTCTGTTCTTCATGAGAGTTTGTATTCTTGAAGAGTAGATCTGGACATAATTTAAACTCCAGCATGCTTTTTTCTGTGCAATCTTTCATAGGGAAACAAGCCTTGGGTTTATTATCCTGTCTTTTCTCTTTAATGGGCTTCCTGGGTGAATTTTCTATTTTGGTGAGACAAATGCTTTCACGTGCAGTGCATTTAAACCCAACTCTGTTCAGGTATAACTTTTTTTGATTCTTTGCTTGGGTAGACATTTGGCTGAATTCAGCTTCATTATTTACATTGGCTAATTTTTTATCTAACTTGTTTTTATCAATTAACATCTTGTCAGGTTGCTTTCTCTCAACTGTTCCTTTAATGTTTTTTGAAATGTCACATGTTTTAGACTCCTCGGAATGGTGCATCTTGAGGTTTTTACCATAGCTTTTAATATTTAATGATTCTCTAGAGGTGTGTACACTGCCACTGAATCTCTCATTTGATTTCCCATAATCCCCTGCATGCACAGAAACCTTACCAGATTTCCTGAATTCAGAATCACTTGGTACATTTTTCACACAGATTTTTTTTGATGCGTTACTATCCACTGCTTCTTTATTTTTCTGCCTTTGCAAATACTCCCTTGGTGTTAGAACTCTTCGAAATCTTGATAAACGATCCTTCAAGTCTGAGAACTTAGTCTCTGATACTGCCTTTTCTTTAATACTGGCCTTTTCATTTGGGTTTGACAAAGAATTACATGCCTTGAGTGTATGCTCCACATTTTTATTCTGCTCTTGCTTATCATATTTCTTCCTTTTTATCTCCATATCCACTATGTTCCCATTGTCTAACTTTCTCTTTTCCAAATGTTTTTGTTTGTATTCACCTGCTTTAAATTTCATCTTCTCTGGTGACCCTGACTGTATCAAAGAACCATTCTTCTTAAGCGAATAATCTTTATTTGTCAAAAAACCTGCCTTTGGTTTTAATGGGCGTAAGTTTTGTAATATGTGTTTCTTCCGCAGGCTTTCTTGAGAAGCTTGCTCAGAAAATGATGTTCTTTTATTACTGGAGTGAAAGGTTACTTCATGGAATTTCAATTTTCCTTTCCTTTTCTGACTCTTCAAGGGATCTGTTTTTTTATCCTGTTTAGTTAATTCTTGCTCCGTCCTTAGTGAGCTGTTGTCTTTTGATTTGGATCTATCTTTTATATCGCTGGTCTTTATTTTAGGAAAAAGACTTTTCCTATCTGGAAGAGTCAGAGGAGTGTCTGGGTTACTTGAAAGACTATGACACTCAACAGTTTGGACATCTCCAGCCAAGGTTTTCCTTCCTTGTTTACAAATGTCAGTCTCCAAAGAACACTGATCTTTCCCTTTTCCTTCCTTTACAGTTGAGTCTTTTGTGGAATTACACTGACACTGGGGTACTCCCTCATAAACCATAGAAAGCCAACCCAAAGCACAGCAGCGGATGTCATCTCTTTCCGGGTCCAATGACACAGAATCACAACTTTCTGTAGGTGCCTGGGGGTCATGCTGGTTCCCCGCATCTATAATTTCTTCTTCTTTCTGAGGTTTTGCCAGTATGTCTACATCACAGGGCTGTTCATCCTGCTCAGGAAATAATTCTTTCATTTGTTCTGAGCTTAATATTGTAATTTTTATTTGGTCGGTTGAGTCTTTGGAGTCAGAGTCAGTCTTATCGCCAGTCCGACCTCCTGAGATTTGGTCCGTCACCTGCTGGCCCACAGGACCTTTTTGTGTGTTCACAGCTTCAATGCCATAGGGAAATTCTTTTAGGAGTTCTGACAGCTGGTCGTGTAGATACAAGACAGATGTCTTGTCATTGTGAATCTCATTATCTGCAGGTTTGTGGACATTACAACTGCTGGAGGCATCAACTTCCTGCAGGTAAGTATCCTGCTCGATAGCAACTGATTCGCAACACATATCATTAGCTGTGCTTTCTTTTTTAGGGGTACACTCCAAATTGCTTCCTTCTGTTATTCCTTTACCTGCTTCAAGACACTTAAGAGATGTCTCTGGAGGATGCAGTGACTTTGACTGATCAGTTATTTTATGTGAGACATCTGTGCACCACACAAATTTATCTATCTGAAAACCCAAGTTTTTGTTCTCAGTGTTGTTATCTAGTTGTTCTTTTCCTTGTCTACTACTAATGGCTTGGTGATTGGGTAGAGAAGGTTTCTGTGGCTCAACTTTTTTGGAAGGGCTGAATATCTCTGCTATTTGGGAATTATAAGACGTGTCGCCTTTGACAAGAGAACATATATTGTCAATTTGTAACAAGTCATCAGCCACAATAGTACCATCCCTTGATTGACATAAGGTTTGCTGGTCACTCGTGGGAGAGCGGCTATCTGGTGCTAATTCATGGTGCTTTCCCTGGTTGGGAATAGGTGTGCTTTCTGAGCTACCACTGGTCAACTCATTCTGCTTTTCCTTCTGAATTAGCGGGAAAACCTTGGGTAATATAGTATTTACTACTGGTCCATTAACATCAACTTTAAAAACAGGAGTTTCTCTTGTATTTTCTGCCAACTGATTTTGTAAGCTACAAACACTGCCTTCTTTAATAACTGGATACACCGTTTTGGGCACAGCCTCAGGGGTTACTCCTTTGACAGACAATGTTTTGACATCTGAAAGAATTAAGGGTGACACAATGGCAATCTGAAGTTCTGTCCCCTTGCTTGTACTTGCACATGGAGACTCATAATTCTGCACTACCATTGACAAAGCTGTTTCTGGTAAGGGGTTTACTGTTTTATTCTGAGAATTTCCCACAACTGAGTAAGGACTCTTCACACAGACTTCTGCTGTTCTGTTTGTTTTAGACTCATTATACTGTTTATCTCCTGTAGTTTCTGAAGGCTCTTTTTTCCACAGAGATAAACAGGTTGCTAGCAATTCCATGGAACAGTGATTGTCACTTTGGGCAGATGCTTCTTCTGTTGAAGATTTAGGATCAAGGCAAAAAGAACTCTCTGAGACCTTGGGACTTACATTAGAAATACTTGAAGTTTCTAGGGTTTTCAAATCCAGTTGGTTACCAGTGACTTGAGTACTCAGACTCACTTCACAACTGTTTGGTTTAGAATCTGGAATAGTTTGGCTACCCTCTTTTAATAATTCCGCCTCAGTTTCATCTTTCTGCAAAAGGAAACCGAGGAGTAGTGGATTTTTATTTGGATACTTTGAAATATATTCCTTAAAGGATTCAGACTGGGGAACAGAAATGGTTTCACGAATAGCTGGCAGATTCTGTTCAGCTTTGACAGAACTTTCTGATGAGGGCTGGCTGTTACTTAATGGTCCTCGAGTACTCTCAACAGCTGAGGTCTTCAAAGAAGTCATAACTTTCGAATCATGAAGCTGGTCTGGCACTGGTAACTTCTCCGAACAGACAGAATTCAGGAAACTGGAATTGATTTGGTTAACCTTTCTACAATTGATTTCCTGAACACTGGTTAACACAGAGTGGGTTTTATTTGTTTCTTCTGCAGACCCCATTACTGTTGGTGGCTGGCCCTTTGCAATCTCTGGAGTTACTGGAGTTAACTGGGATCCAGGCTGGATTGGAGCAGTCTGTTTCAGAGACAATTCAGAACTAGGGGCTGGTTCGTTAGAAGAGGCATTGGTTATTTTACTACAACCTGCTGCCATCAAGAGATCTTTATTAATTTTAATTTTCCTTGCAAGTTCTGAAAACTTCTTTTTTATTTCTACTAATGTTTTAATATCCCTCACGAGCTTTTCTTTCGTGACATTTGTGTCCATTACTTGATTTGGAGCTGGCTTGCAAGGATTCGTTTTTTCTTGATTATTCTGAGCAGGCGGAGGAACACCATCCACAGAAGGTCTCACCGGTTCATTAAAAGGCTGTGTGTCATTGGTATTTCCTTTGGAGTTATAGTAACCAACTGTCCTGACATTTTCACTAGGGTTTTGCCAAAGCTGCTGAAAGCCAGTACAGAAGTCTTTTCTGATTTCAGATGAGTGCACTTCTTGAGTGTGAGGAACACCCACAGGAAAGTGGTTAGTTCCATGTGGCGTACTCTGCAAAGGCTGGCTCCTGTACCTGCAGTTGTAAGGAGGAGGGGGTCTTTTGTCCGTTTGAGAAGCATACTGATGTGACAGCATAGCAGTCTGCTTTGACAGTAAAGTCTGAGAGGAACCGGGAGGTCGACTATTTTTAACTTGTAATGATGTAGGTGACGTAAGGTTTTGTTTCTGAACAGTAGCATCTTGCAAAAAGTTTTGTGATGAGTAACAGTATTGCTTTGGAAATGGTCTGTAATCTGGGTAAGTCGGTCCATTAGATGAATACTGCTGTGTCCAACCAACCTGTTGTTCTGATAAAGGCTGGTTAAGTCCCTGATTTCCTGGGTAAGACACAGGTATCTTTACAGGATTAGAAGGAATCATTTGTAACTGCATGGAGTAGGTATCTGAAGTTACAAATTGACCCTGTAGTGCATGCATATTAGGCGTACTAGTTCCAAAATCAATTTGATGAGGTAGATTTGCCCCTGTATGAGAAACCATGGAATTCTTCACTGGCGAGTTTAACCACATATTTTGTGTAACACCTGAAGACATTTGCAAATTGTGATTTTGCGGTTTGGGTCCTTGAACATTCGCATACGTTATTCTTTCTACTGAAGTTTGTGAGGCCACAACTGTCCCATTACGCATGTCAGAAACCGAGATTTGTTGAGGAGTTTTATAATTTAGAAGATTCATCAGTGGCTGTGGAACTGGATTTAAATTATTGGGATACATGCACGCTTCTCGGTTACTTCCAGGATAGCTAAAAGAACTGTGGGATGTTGTTGTAAGTTGGTTTATTAATGACTGCTGCAAAAAAGATGACTGGTTTTTAGCATACTGTGGTGGTAATGTAGCACCCTCTGGGTCTGCATTCCAATTCATCGTTAATTTCATACAGCAGCAATGTATTAAGTCAGTTGTTCTGAATGTCAGGGATCTGTAATAAATAAATAAATAAATATCTTTTATTAAAACACTGTTTTACCTAGACAGAATTTCTACAGCTATTAGTAACTGATAGTGGCTTGCCTAATTACCAACTAGATGGCCTCATCTTTAGCTTGGGAAGAGGAGTAACAATGGAGAATACAATAATAAATAAGGCAAATGTCATGAAATGTCCAGAGCATTTAATGGGAACTCATTCTATACAACACAGCGAGCATCTGGTTACACTTAAGTGGCAATCACTTTTTGCTTTCTTTTAAAATTGTTCATTTTTAATCAGAGGGTATGTACACTTGCCAGAAAAGAACGTGAAAGAGAAAGTACCCTGCAGTTGGGCATGGTGATGCCCTAATTCCTTCCCTCCATCTCTCTATCCTGTCAGGATTTTTGTCACATGTGCCTGGCATGCTTCGTAAGTCACTGAGACAGGTACTGGAACTGTGGCTGGCCATGTGGAATCTGACTCGTAGTGCACAGCCCTTATCACTCACTGTGCCTCAGGGTCAGATCAAAGCTTTTTAATTATAACAAGCTCTTTTTTTAAAAAAAGAATAATACATGGTCACTGTAAAAACAAAAATAACACCTCAAACATGTAGTAAAAAAAATTCTTATTGCCCCTCCCCAGTGTCAATTTCCCAGAAGTATCTGATATTACCTTATATTAGAAAGTTTCTAAGAATAAACAAACACTAACCCATAAGTAAATAATTTCCAAGAAGAATTATTTCATTTTATTATTAGGGTTTTTTTTTTTTTTTCCATACAGAGTTGGGTGAAAGGACAACTTGTCCTATAAAGGGGACAATGATCCATGAGATGAGTGGCAGCTTTGGTGCCCTGGAGCATTCAGGATAGAGTGGGTGGGAGGGTGGAGACAGGGGGGAGGAGGAGTAGATCATTTTCTCTTGGAAAGCCACAAGGGTTTGGGCTATAAAATGTCATGGTCTATTCCTGTCTGTTATTATTCATCCACAGAAGAACAGGCAAGTGAGAGGGAGCTGTCTCTTCCTAATGCATGCTCAGTGTTGTACAAGGGGACTTGAAATCATTTATGGAAAATAGAATTAATGTATGAGTTTATTTGGGTATGAAAAATATTGCAATCCATGTGTAGTTTTTTTCACTATATATATATTTTATGGACTTTTTGAAGGGCCCTTGTAAATTGATCTAGACTTATAAATGAGTCTGTAGTTGGGAATCTGATATTATTAAAGCAAAAAAGTTTAACTGAAACAAATTTGGCCTTAGGTCCCTGTTTAGTTACAGGGAAAGGTAGCTTTGGTTTGATCCAGTTTTTACTTCTTCCTGCTGGGATCTCCTGGGCCTGTGAGTATTAACCAGCAGACCATGTGGAAAATAGCTATCTTAGGTCATCTGGCTACTGCTGGGCACATTTTTTGTTTTTAGGGTTTTTTGGTGGCTGTAGGGCCCGAACGCTTGCCAGAAAGAAGACTGAGAAAGAAGGCAAGTGAGAAATCATTCCCCGAGGAAGAAGGGCCATATTGCGATCCCTTCTCCTACATTTTCCTCTCTGAATTTTGGAAACTCATACACATGCCCAGCATGATTTTCAAGCTGCTGGGTCTGGGACTTGAACCACAAAGTCAGCTATGTGGAATCCAGTGCCTTAACCTCAATTTCACCTGCTACCCTCTTTTTTTTATTTTAAGTAATTCATTTTATTATTAGGGTTTTTTTTTTTTTTTCCAATTTGCTATAGGGCACATGTGCTTACCAGAGGAAAAGAGAGAGAGATGGAGGGAGGGAGGAGGAGGGAGAGAGAGACAGCATGCTGCCAGGTCTAGGACTCAAACCGTGGTCAGCCATGTGGGTGACCAGTGTCTTAACCATCACGTCACTGGCTGGTCCTCATTAAAAAATCATTTAAAACAAATGGAATCTTGCTAAACACACTGCCTACTGTTTTTCCTTTATCCCCCCACCCCTTCAGTTTGCTATAGGGCATGTATGCTCACTGGAGAGAGACCAAGACAGAGAGAATGTGAGAAATCACCCCCCAAGTGGGTATGGCCACATATGCACATGTGCCCTAATTTTTCAAGCGGCCAGGTTCTGGACTTGAACCACAGAGTTGGCGGATCCAGCACCTTAACCACTAGTCACCTGCTGGCCCACCTTTATCTTACTTGAGGTATCTTATTTCATCAGACATACACCTAACAACTATCTCACTGATGGGCGTATCACCTGTGGTATAGGAAGAAACACATTTGGTCTTTGTCTCTGGTTCCTAGTTATTCATGATGAGCCTCTCTGACTCACACCTAAATTGATATTACTAAGGTGACTTAGGGTGGGGCTGTTACAGTTCCACCCATTGAGCTCCAGATATAGGTAACAGGAACTGGAGATTAAGCACCACAAAAACTTGAACAATGAGATTTCATGAGTTTCCAAGTGGGCATGCCTCCTTTCCATTTCACTGTGGCCTGTACTGAATCCTGCTGTGACTTGCGCAGGGAGACATGTACCAAAAGGGGAGTGAGAGCATTGAAAAGAAACACACAGATGCACAAGAGAGAAAAGTGGGGATCAGGTGGCCTGGCCATCTCTGATGGAGATAGCAGCAGCCTGAACAGTCTCAAGTATACTCTTTATTAGGGCCGTGGGGGAGGGACAAGTGGAATGTGAAGCCGAATATTTGTCTGTTATCAACTGAAGCTGAGGAGCATCTTGTGTCTTGCTGTTTTAAACTAGCCTTTCGTCTCTGCTGCCCTTCTCTGGCTGACACATAGTTCCTTTTAACTTTCACTGACTGGTAGTGTTGGCTCAAGAGGGTGTGACCTTGTCTCTGCTTAGCTTAAAGGCACCATTGTTAACTCAGATCCAACTGCTCCCTACAGAGTCTGGCATAATAACCTAGGAGATGTAAGGAGGTGTCCCCCTGGGTTGGATGGGCCATTCAGTTATCAAACCCAAGTATGGCAGGCCAGGACTCGTGATGGTGTCAACTTGAGAAGTCTCGCAGGACTGAGGCCTTTGGCTAGTGGATCTGATGCTAACCCCAGGTATACAGTGTGAGAATTCAATTGAACTACAGGACACCCTGCTGGTGTCTGCTATCAGAGAATTGGGAAAGAG